TTTGGTGTAGTAGTTCAAGAACTGCTGCGCTATCTCCTCAGTTTTGTTGTGACATTTGCCTGCATTATCATGAATAGTAAGGAATGTCAATTCTGCCATTTTTTTTCCCTGAAACATTCTAGCCAACGGCCTGCCACTCTTATTGGCTTGTTCATAATAAAGTTTAGTGGTCAGCAAAAATTTACCTTTAATTTGTTTGCCAAAATCTTCAAGCAGAGTTCTACTGGCCACTATTAGGGAAGCGTATAACTGATCTGCCTTGCTTTCTTGTGTGCTAATTCCAAGGAATAGATTTGTGATGTTAGACCATCTATAAAAGCCTGTTACTGTCTTTTAATCTGCACCGTCAAAGAAATACCTTCCTCACAAAAGACATATTGGTGTGCCAACCACTGAGTAAGGGCAGATGTGTTAGTTGAGAAATTAGGTGTGAAAAATTCATACAAGACAAACTGAAGCCTGTTACAATGAATGGGGTCAATGAATAAAGAAGGATTCACTCACCAGGTCTGATATTTTGAGTCTTATTCTGGGAATCTGAGCATGAGGGTGATTGGGTGGTGGTTTAATACATACATGGGTTTAATGCTAGCAGCATGAAGATATTTTTAGTCAGATTATGAGGGGAAGAGATAGTCAACTCAGAAGTATTTGCAGTGGGGTTGGGAGGAAAAGGTGTAATCTTTTGTGTCTGGATACAAGCTCCTTCAAAAGTCAAGTAAACTTAACATGTTGAGCTGCAATTGTATTTGCTTCAGGGCTCTATAAGGCACGGAGGAATTGCCAGATGATGAGTCTAAAAGTGATTTGAGTGGAATATTTAAATCACACCCTAGAATTACCAGCCCCTCATGGAATGGGATTAATAAATCAATGACTTGAGGGATAAAGGAAACTCGTGGTTCATTGGGGCAGTATATATTGGCAAATGTTATGGGTTGACTGAAGGTCATCCCTTTCACAAATAAATAGAGTCCCTCTGGGTCAGCTATTTGTTCAGAGATTTTAATACATTTTTGAAAAAAGAATAGCCATTTCTTTTGTTTTGGACAATGAGGATGATACATGGTAGGTCAATGGGAATTTGATATTAAACATTTTAGGTATATTGGCAGTGAAAAGAAAAACGTAGGGATGGAATAGGGTAAAAATATAGAGTATTCCGGGTGGGACAATGAGTGAAACGCTCTAGCCTACTATACCAATCTGAGAGTAGGTACAGTCTGGTCAGGGAGCAGGCTGAGTTGGGGGGTTGTAGTAGAATAAACAGTAAAGGGATATTGGCCCAGAGGGAGGACTCCAAAGTGAACAATTAAGATAAGACTCTCTGAGGTGAACAAAAGGGTTATTCTTTCATAAATAGGTATGCATAAAATATTTTTAAAACATTAAAAAACAGTTATAAAGACATGCAGAAACTCTCTTATGGTATGAGACATAGGATCTTTCATTAATGGCATACAAACGACCATTATTAACCATCTATGAGATCCCCGAGTGGAGCCGATCGTCTGGAAGTATCTTGGCTTTTCATCTCCAGCAGGCATCCCATCTTTCTGCATAACAACAAAATAATTGATCTATATACATATAAGGAGCCTCCTTCTGAGGCAATATTTTCACTCCTCTAAGAAGAAAACTGAGTAGGCTATCAGTAGACATACAATAAAGTGAACATCACGGGAGTATATCACATGGATGTACATATTGTATGTAAATGGACAAAATGAATGAATGTAAATGAACGACCTAATGGCCAAAGCATGTACTAGTGTTGGGCTGACATTCTGGTACAGTGTGGGATTTGTGAGATGCAAATAGTCCCAGCGCCCCCCTGTGCAGACACAACCACATGCACAATCTTGTGTTCCCAGGAGATGCAATGTGTAAAACCTGCATGGATAAGGGTTTTAGACAGGTGTGCACCCGCATATCTCCAGGGAAGTGGGGAACATATAAGAGGGATATGGCAATAGAGGACAAGTGGCCTAAAACAAATACTGGAGTAAACCTGAGGGCTTATTCAAACAGTGCAGTGGATATGAGTTGGCATTTCCTAAGTGGTCAAATAAGGCCTACATTAATATACAGATATGCTGCAGGTTTTATTCCTTAGAGGGGCAAAGTTAAAAAAGACAGCAGCATTTAGATTAGAAATGAATAGATTACCATATTAAAGTAGTCTGGGTATGGTTATACTGTATGGTCAGCAAGTAGTCTACACAATAGTCTCACCGAAATTAAAGCGGTTTTGCACACTGTCATGTTGCTCAAGACTGAGACAAAGAGTTCCATTTGCCAACATCTGGAAAAGGGTGTCATGGTTGCTATCAACATGTCCATCTGGAAACAAACTTTACAAGAGATGTAGGACAGAAAGGATGAGACTTATAAGAGTCAGTTGTAGATAGTGTTCCAGTTATTTTTTTTTTTCCATTAGATGGATTGAAGAGTGATATAGACATACGGAGAAAAGTTGATATGTGGGGCACCAGAAAGAGTCTTACCATCTCTTCGATCTTGTAAGAAATCCACCATCCTCCAGGTCAAAAGAGAGAGATAAGCTATTGCAAGTGGTGAGCTCACCAGCAAGATGTGAACGGGTTACAGATCCTTAGGAGGACAAGGGCATTCCTCTGCAGCAGTCTCCAGTCACCTACAGCGGTATGGAGTGGTATTCAGCCTGCAGAGTGGTGTGAGTTGCTCAGGGATGGCAGGGAGCAACTCTCTCCAGAGATCTAGAATGCTGAAATCTTGGTATCTGTCAGGAATGGACTGGCCAGCAATGGTGGGACTCACCTGCCTTTTGACCTGCAGTACCAGGGCTGGCCAGCGGGTGCTCCCAGCAATCAGAGACTCAACTTTGCAGCCAGCTAACACCTGGAACTGATTATGCTGGGGTATTTAAGGGATGGCCAGACCCACAGACTCTGCCTTGGTGTGTGTTTGTCCTGGGCCCTGTATCTGTCCTGCATCCTGTTCCTTTGCTGACCCTCTGTACTACGCTGCTTGCTACCTGTCCTGATCCCTGGCTTGTGACCCTGACCATCCCTCTGCCTGACCCTCTGTACTACGCTGCTTGCTACCTGTTCTGATCCCTGGCTTGTGACCCTGACCATCCCTCTGCCTGACCCTCTGTACCACGCTGCTTGCTACCTGCTGAACCTGGCCTGTGACCCTGACCATTCTCCGCTTGCTCCCCCTGTACCTACCTGCCCAATTGATATTGACCCGGCCTGCCTGACGACGCTTGCTTGTATGTACTGTTATCTGTGGGTGGTTGGTTGGGTTTGTTTGCACTGTATTATGTTTAGTATTGCACTGCGTTTATGTTTGTATTGTTAGTGTTAATAAATTACATTGTTTATAATATATCTGAAGTCTGCGTTTCCCTGCGTCAGTCACACATCTCTGGTCATACCTGGGAGCCCTGACATTACACCAAGGCCAATCCTGACCAGAAGTGGCTGCACAGGGAAGCCATCTTGGCTTGTTGATGGGAAGGATGGATCTGGATGAGGTTGTGTATTTATATCTGCTAGTGTTTGATGACAGAGAGTATGCTTATCAGACTCTGAAGGAGTATACCCGGGAGGAACTGCTAGAATGTATACGGCTCGCTCATGTTCTAGTAGATCAGGGCACAGAGTTCTCTGAGGTGCAGCCTTTAATTGAGGTTTGTGCTGAGTTGGTTTCATCTGGTACCCCCGAATGCAGGGATGAATTTTTGCCACCATTTAGTGCAGACCAGGTAGAGTCCCTGGTATGGTTATTAGAGGATGATGTGGGTTACTTTCTGGAGCGTTATTCCACATGTTCACCACAGACACTAAGAGATTGTATAAACGCAGTGCAGTCATTGACCAGACAGGCTTTGTGTAAGCGGAGCTTTGTTCAACCCATACTGCAGACATGGACAGACTTGTTGCACCCAGCCTCAGTCAGCTTACAAAGACCCAGTCCTGCTTCTAACTCTACTCCTGTATTCCCAACAGCTCCTCCAGTTACAGCCCAGTATACTTGGCTATCTACCGCATGTCAGTACCCTGTTCCCACTCGCTGCACCTATCCTGCCTTTAACCCTGTAAAAAAGCCCTCTGTAGCAACTGCTCCCTCTCCTGTTCCATCCTCCAGTTCTTCTCTGTCTCCAGCTGCTCCTTTCGTTTGCAGACCTGCGTTTTACTTGCAGTGCTCCAGTAGTTAAAACCAGAAAAAAGCGAAAATTCTTTCCAACCAATACCATCCTGCCAGTATCCAAACCGGTGAGCCTGCCTTCCGTGGTTCAGCCTGAAGCCTCTACTCAGCCTGATGCCTCTACTCAGCCCTGAATCCTCTACTCAGCCTGAATCCTCTACTCAGCCTGAAGCCTCTACTCAGCCTGAAGCCTCTACTCAGCCTGATGCCTCTCTTCGGCCTGAAGCCTCTACTCGGCCTGAAGCCTCTACTCGGCCGGACGCCGGCATTCAGCCTGATGCCTCTACCCAGCATGATGAACTGATCCAGCCTGACGATCCTATTAGGCCAGTTGACTCGATGCCCGCTGTTGATCCAGATGATCCGGTACCTGATCCGGTGCCCGCTGTCGTGCCAATTGACTCAGAGCCCGCTGTCGTACCTGGTGACTCGGTGCCCACTGCCTTGCCAGATGACGCGGTGCCCGCTGGTGAGCCAAATGACCTGATGCCTGGTTACCCAGTGCCCGCTGTCATACCTGGTGACCCGATGCCCGCTGTCGAGCCAGACGATCCAATGCCTGGTGACCCGGTGCCCACTGCCTTGCCAGATGACGCGGTGCCTGCTGGCAAGCCAAATGACCTGATGCCTGGTGACCCAGTGCCCGCTGTCATACCTGGTGACCCGATGCCCGCTGTCGAGCCAGACAATCCGGTACCTGATGACCCGGTGCCCACTGTCGTGCCTGTTGACTCGGAGCCCACTGCCTTGCCAGATGACGCGGTACCCGCTGTTGAGCCAAATGACCTGATGCCTGGTGACCCGATGCCCGCTGTCCAGTCAGACGATTCAATGTCTGCCCCAGTGCCCGCGGTCATGCCAGTTGACTCGGAGCCCACTGCCTTGCCAGATGACGCGGTGCTCGCTGTCGAGCCAAATGACTTGATGCCTGGTGACCCGATGCCCGCTGTCCAGTCAGACGATCCAATGTCTGACCCAGTGCCCGTGGTCATACCAGTTGACTCGGAGCCCACTGCCTTGCCAGATGACGCGGTGCCCGCGGTCGAGCCAAATGACCTGATGCCTGGTGACCCGATGCCCGCTGTCCGGCCAGACGATCCAATGTCTGACCCAGTGCCAGCGGTCATGCCAGTTGACTCGGAGCCCACTGTCGTGCCAGATGACTCGGCGCCCGCCGCTCCGCCTGAGGGCCCGAGACCTGTCGCTCCACCTGGGGGTCCGGCGCCCGCCGCTCCGCCTGAGGGCCCGAGACCTGTCGCTCCACCTGGGGGTCCAGCGCCCGCCGCTCCGCCTGAGGGCCCGAGACCTGTCGCTCCGCCTGGGGGCCCGAGACCTGTCGCTCCACCTGAGGGTCCGGCGCCCGCCGCTCCGCCTAAGGGCCCGAGACCTGTCGCTCCACCTGGGGGTCCGGCGCCCGCCGCTCCGCTTGAGGGCCCGAGACCTGTCGCTCCACCTGGGGGTCCGGCGCCCGCCGCTCCGCCTGAGGGCCCGAGACCTGTCGTTCCACCTGGGGGCCCGGCACCCGCCACCACCCCCTGGGGGCCCGATGCATGTTGCCCCGCCTGTGGGCCCGATGCCTGTCGCCCCGCCTGGGGGCCCGATGCCTGTCGCCCCTCCTGGGGGCCCGGGCGCCCGCCGCTCCGCCTGGGGGCCCGATGCCTGTCGCCCCGCCTGGGGGCCCGATGCCTGTCGCCCCGCCTGGGGGCCCGATGCCTGTCGCCCCGCCTGGGGGCCCGATGCCTGTTGCCCCTCCTGGGGGCCCGGCGCCCGCCGCTCCGCCTGGGGTCCCGATGCCGGTCGCCCCGCCCGGGGGCCCGGTGCCTGCTGCTCCGCCCGGGGGCCCGGTGCCTGCTGCTCCGCCCGGTGACCCGCTGTGCCTCTGCCCGGAGTCCTGCCCGATGTGCCTCTGCCCGGAGTCCTGCCCGATGTGCCTCTGCCCGGAGTCCTGCCCGATGTGCCTCTGCCCGGAGTCCTGCCCGATGTGCCTCTGCCCGGTGTGCCTCTGCCCGGTGTGCCTCTGCCCGGCGTGCCTCTGCCCAGTGTGCCCTCTGCCCGGAGTCCAGCCCGGTGTGCCTCTGCCCGGAGTCCAGCCCAGTGTGCCTCTGCCCGATGTGCTTCTGCCCGGAGTCCAGCCCGATGTGCCTCTGCCCGGTGTCCAGCCCGATGTGCCTCTGCCCGGTGTATCGCTGCCCGGAGTCCTGCCAGGTGTGCCAGTCTTTGATATCCCGCCAGTTACCAGACCCGGGCGGTGGAACATTTTTCCCAGCTAGGACTGTTTGGAGCGTCCTGAGGCCGCTCCTTGAGGGGGGGGTACTGTCAGGAATGGACTGGCCAGCAATGGTGGGACTCACCTGCCTTTTGACCTGCAGTACCAGGGCTGGCCAGCGGGTGCTCCCAGCAATCAGAGACTCAACTTTGCAGCCAGCTAACACCTGGAACTGATTATGCTGGGGTATTTAAGGGATGGCCAGACCCACAGACTCTGCCTTGGTGTGTGTTTTGTCCTGGGCCCTGTATCTGTCCTGCATCCTGTTCCTTTGCTGACCCTCTGTACTACGCTGCTTGCTACCTGTCCTGATCCCTGGCTTGTGACCCTGACCATCCCTCTGCCTGACCCTCTGTACTACGCTGCTTGCTACCTGTTCTGATCCCTGGCTTGTGACCCTGACCATCCCTCTGCCTGACCCTCTGTACCACGCTGCTTGCTACCTGCTGAACCTGGCCTGTGACCCTGACCATTCTCCGCTTGCTCCACCTGTACCTACCTGCCCAATTGATATTGACCCGGCCTGCCTGACGACGCTTGCTTGTATGTACTGTTATCTGTGGGTGGTTGGTTGGGTTTGTTTGCACTGTATTATGTTTAGTATTGCACTGCGTTTATGTTTGTATTGTTAGTGTTAATAAATTACATTGTTTATAATATATCTGAAGTCTGCGTTTCCCTGCGTCAGTCACACATCTCTGGTCATACCTGGGAGCCCTGACAGTATCACTCAGGAACCGGAATGGTTGGGATGTTGATATGGTCACAAATTGTGGCAAATCAGCAAGTGTTTTTAATGTGAAGGAACGACCTTGCAGATGCACAAAGCTTGAATGGAAAGCACAACTTGTAGGACATAGCCCTGTCCCATAGAGCAGACAAGATAGGTCACAGAACTCTCCTGTTATTCAAGGTAATTTATGAGAGATCTTGGAAGATTTTTACATCTTCACCATTGAAAGTTATTTCTTCTTGGTCTTGAGTCAAAATAGTGACCCTGTCCATAAGCCAGTAGTCAGCCAGTAGTCAGTGAAGCAACATAAGATGTCCCCGGGGGGGTCAACTTCTCTGTGTTGAGGGCCAAGAGCCCTATGTGCATGCTCAAAGTCTACTGGTGATTTCTGAGGCCTAATAAGTTGTTAACCAGTGACTGCAGGGCAAGAGGAATCTGATTGAGATCTACAGATTTGGATGCTACGAATTTGCAGTTCCTTTGGCAACCCCTTTTGTATAAATCTTCTAATTTGTGCTTCATAGCAATGAGGTGTTAGTAGAACTGAGTGCCATGTTGCTGTAGTTCTTGGATGTCTAAGTCTCTCTGCTGCTCGACTGACCTCCCAAGCTGGTCAGAGATGCTCCACAGTTCTTCCTTTAGCTCCGATACCACGTCATTGAATGCATTTTTAATGTTTGAGGCAATGAGTTGCAGATCAGCTATCTTCAGCACTTGCTGGATCAGAGACAAGACAGCTGCTGTGTCTGTCTTCCGTTTCAGCCGCTGCTAGGAGTTGGACTTCCTGCGGGACATGATGGGTGGAGAAATACACAAGGTGGAGGCCTCAGGGGTAGCTACTGGCTGCGTGCGGAAGATCTTCAGTAAGTTTTGTCCCGTGAATGAGGGGTTTTGGCAAAGGGTAATGAACACCCATTTTGCCCATTTCCACACAATAAGATAGCAATTAAGTAAAGTAATTAAGTAAAAAAGTTCTCCCGCTGTGTCGGAGCTCCTCACTCAAGCGGCCATCTTCACTGAGAGCCAAGCCATGCCCCCTTCATAGACATTTTAAATGGGATTCTAACTTTCATTTGTTATTTCTTAGCAGCACCAGAGAATGATGATTCCTTTTTTTTTAGCATGGACAAATGATGAAAATTTGCAACTGAAGGATATTATAAAGGGAGGGAGGTTGAGCAGTATACAGAAGTGAAGGCAAAATGGGGCACTGCCCTATTAGATGATTGGATGCTTTGCCAGTTGTGGCAATTTATATAATTACCTCTGCCAATAAGAGAAATTGAGAATGTACTTCCTTTCGAGAAATCACTCAGGCTACAGGTAGCCTTGGTATGCTGTATTTCCCAGACTTATAAAATACTTTTCACAGAGGTTGAGCCGAAGACACCGCAATATAGTGGAAAATGGTAAGGAGTAATTGGGGTGGCCTTGAGCAAGCAACAGAAAAGAAAGGTGCTGAAATTGGTATATGGCTCTTCATCAGCTACACACACCACAGAGATTATATTTAAATGGTTTGGTGAGATGGTATATCACACCTGGAAGAGCACATACATATCAACCGGGAAAGTCACCATTATGTGGGTGTAATGAAAGGGGACTATGTTTCAGATCTGGTGGTAATGTGTAAAAATACAAGAATTTTGAAAGGGGGGTGGCAAAGATACTACGAGAAATAACTGGCACTGACCTACCAAAAGATCCATGGATATATTTGTTCCATAGTACTGCAAGTTCAATAGTACACCATAGAAAATCACTTATTCCCCATCTACTGAATGCAGCTAAGGGACTTATCCCAAAGTTTTGGAGCTTGTAGAAGACCTTATCAATGGGAGACTGGCTACGGAGGGTGGAATATATATGTACTATGAAAGAATTATGCCATTCAAGTGAGGAGTTGATGGGAGTATAAAAAGAACAAGAAAGGCAAAGGAATATCTTTGAAGAGGTGTTGGATACTGTGGTATGTGTTTTATGGTGATACGTGTTATAATGGTATATTTGTTGTATACAAGCAAATTAAAGAAATATATATATATATGTTAACATCCAATTGAACCTTCGTGTATAATTAAAGGTAAAACACTCTATTAGGATAGAGTGGTGAGGGGTTATAACTACTGTCAGGTTTTTACTACTGTCTGTCTCATTAGAAAAACTTCACTTTCTCTAATTCTCCTGATCAACAATATCACCAGGAATGGAAGTGAAGGGTAGACCCAAAATTTTGATATGCCACCAGAGCAGGCAATTTTCAAATACATGCATTTATTTCCATGACAACTGTATATGAGGGGATTTCTCTTTCATTGGAAAGGTCTACAGGCAGAGAGAAAAAGAAAATTACCTATTAAGTCACAGATGACAATCAAAATGATAGTGGTTTCAATCATTCCCTATTCTGTCCAAAAGAAAAAAAGAAAAAGACCTAACTTTTGGCTTTAGATACAATTTCAGTTTAAATTAGCTATATATATTCCACGTGCATCAAAACAAGTGTAGAAAGTCTTACAAAAGTCTTCTTTTCTTTTTTTTTTTTAGAAACACCTGTCCTCTGTTAGCACGCTATAACAAAAGACATTTGCTCTCTGTGTGCAGGTAAAAGTTTCTCTGCAGAGGCACAACACGCTGTATTCTGAGAATTATAGCTCGGCAATCAGCAAAGCTCCTGTTTCCTGCTGATTGGAGATCTCTACTTCTAAGAAGGAGTGTCGGACAGACCACTGCTTAAACACAGAGAACAAGAACCCTCCTCTACAACAGGTTGGAAAGGGACAGCAAAACAAAAAAAAACTGTAAAGCCCAGTACACACAATCAGAAAATATTACAAAGCAGTTGTACGATAATCTAAGTACACAGCTTTCATCTGAAATTATGTCGAAGGGACAAGCATGAAAATTTTTCTCGTACGATACCAGATTATGTTATTTTCGTTTAGTCAGTAGTTTTTTTGTCCAAAAAATACAATACACTACATCACTTCCAAATTGTTATTGTCGTACGAGAATTTTCGTAACTTTAGTAACCTGTTCGTTTTCAAAATGGAGACTAGCATACACAATAAAATGTATAATTTGATATTCTCATCATGAGTACGGTCCTTAAACTTTGTACACCTTTTTATGTCCCTGGAACATGTTTAGCTAATTTAACCTGAAAATTCAGTTGGGTTTTATGCTTACATCAATGCATGGCTTATCCAATTTCTGTATAAAGCCAAGGGAAGATAGGGGCTTTTGAATAAAGCATTCCTAATTAATTTGTATTTAAAATAGTAGACAGCAGAAATTACAGTGTCCTATGTCAAAGTAATAATGGCGTAGGCAATTTGGCAGGCAGTAAGGCTGTCCCATAATATATGACACCAGTCATTTTATATTTGTTTTTTGTTTTGCATCCAGCTTTGCATTCCAGCATGTTTATACTGTGCTAATAATTATGTAGTTTTCTCTCCATTAATTAACTTGAACAACAGGACTACAGATATGGAGAGTTATATAATGATTAGTGCACTTGACAT